GGAATGTCTGAATTGATGGCTATGGTATCAGACGATACTCCATCACCACATGGAGCGTCTGTTTTTAAATCCATTCCTCTCCATACACACGATTTCGATTAATGCTCAATCTCATTCGAAATGATCATAAGATCAGGTGTCAATTTCACAAAATATGTATATTTTAAGTGTCTTCAGTATTACTTTTCAGCCATTTGATGTTCCTAATAAATTAGTCTCCTCTAAATCACCGCACTGGTGTCATTTTTCACCTCGTTTTTCACTATATCAATGTGAAGGATGACACCACTGTACACGTTATTATCAATGAAATTTACAGCATGTTGATTCTATCCACGTATATACAGGGTGTCCCATACGTCATGGATAAAAACATGAGGTGGTTGTTATCAAATTGTTAGTGGTTCAAAAGTAATGATTTTTTTTCATTTCTATGAAAAATATGTATTTCAATAAAACTATGTCACATTTGTGAGTTTTCCATTCACGAATTCCATATGCATTGATGCACCGTTCCCCAGGAATGATTTCAATCACCTATACATTTTATTTTCCAAAGTTTTGTTATTGAATGAAATATTTCAGTTGATTTTCAAATGCCGCTGGCAGATTCAAAAACTACCCCGCGAAGATAACCTATTGAAAAAAATAGTTGCAAATTCAATACATATTCCGAAATGGTATGATATATGGGGTTATTCAAATCAGCCCTTTCGTTATTAATTATTATTATTAATGGGTCGAGTTTTTCAGAAGAATAACTTTTGACCATCCACAATTTAATTACCAAATATACCCTCGCATATACCGTTAGTTTGATTGCAAATGACCCCCTACCACTACTTTCGATCCATGACCGAGTTCATGACTTATAGGACACCCTGTATATGATTTCGTTCGGTGTTTGTTCTGAAATTCGTTTGATTGTGCAGGTAGGTATGTATACACCAATGTTTTTTGTTTTTTTGCAATCAAACAAATGAAATAGAAATAAATGTTCTCGGAATATTCACATTTCGACATCACATGTATATATATCATAATGATGGTCAATGAATTTTGACTGTAGATAGAAGATAGATAGACATGCATATTATATGTGGAAATGTATACATTATAAGGATCACATCATACTTATACACTCGCTTATACATAATTTCAAAGTTAACAAATTCACTATATTAGCCAGTCACGAATAGTCTACAGATATTTGGAAACTTTAACTCAGCAACATGCAATAGATATACTTGTTTTTCAAATTGATCGAATCTGAGATGGACCATAATTAATGTTCTTCGAGATATCATTTCAATCGTGCTTTATGTATTCCGATATGTTAGTAAAATCATAGACTACTGAAGATAAACTATCTTTGGTAAAATATTCATTTTGAAGTCTTTTCATTGTATTTAATGATATTATAGAATAGAGTTATTCTTCAAGATCAAATATCTATTAAATATGAATTTTATTTCCTAATTTCTGACTCTGATGCGTGCGTTGGTTTCATGGAGAGTATATTATTATGTTAGTGTTATATGTTTGGAGCAATGACGCACTGGAACCAAACCGTTTTAAAAACTATTTTTTCAATTCAGTGGGAATACATGAAAAAATATAGGCTCGCATAGGTGATATATGAAATATTCTCGGGAATATCCCTTAAAATTCCTTAGTCATCAAAAAATCTCACCAAGATTACGAAGATGGCCAGCCTTAGTATATAATATTAATATTGAAATCATTTCACAACAATACTGTTAATCAAGTGGCCGTTGGTGGTCAACGTCAACCCTTCTATACTTTTCTGTACCATTTCCTGGTTTGACCGCTAGTGACCAATTCAATGGCCTCGTGTGAACCTTTAGAAGAAGGGCAAGTATACTTGACGTTACTCAAGTTAACCCTTCCGTCGAATCGCCCCATTAACCCTTTGCGGGCAGCTTTCAGAAAGAAACATTTTTCATGTATTATTCTGAGTTCTCTGATACGAAATGACTAAAAATAAGCAACGTGTATTTTTATGGAAATTTTGATTTCATCAGTTTTTCTAAAAAAATGTGGTATATTACTTGTACCACAAAGCATCACAACAAACATGATCAATTATTTTCATGGAAATTTCGAAAAATGTTTAGTCGATCAGACATCCATGATGCGACGACAGATGTTCCACAGGCCCATTTGAACCTTCATTGGTGTTCCCGAGTACTTCAAAGAGCACATCTTCGGTAAATTCCGTGAACTGGCATATGCAACGACGAAATGATCCCATCTCCTCTCAAGCGGCACATTTAGACATTTGGCTTATACCCATTGATACTCCTTTCCATACTTGATCTTCGTCTTTTTGGTACCTAATTTCCAGCTCCTACCAATCCTGCTACTCTAGCTAGACGCAAAACATTTCCTCCACATTATCATAGTCTGCTAAAACCAAGTGAGCAAGCATCTCCCTCCCTCATCTTTGTTACAAAATTCGTCATCAGATTCTCCTTATGAAGGAATTTCTGCCAATAATGCATCTACTTGATCATCACCCAAATTTTCTAAATCGACAAAAGTCCGAACGTTTTTTCTATAACGAATAAAAATATTTACGCCCACAAATACTCTCTACGTTCATGCGTTGTGGTATATTTGAAGTACCACAAATGAAAGACGATGAAAGACAATACCTACTCATGAATAAATTTTTTTTATCTTTGTGTAATTATATAATACTATGCCACACTGTTATTCAGATACTTACTTGCCATTATTTACAGTTTCATTAGACTAAAATCGGCAACGAATATTGATGAGCATCAAATAATAGCAAAGCGAAATGAACTGATCCACTGTGAATATTCGTCGCGAAGTAACTGACTTATTTTGCGCCAAAGTAGAGGAGAGTATTCACAAGTAACTATCAGGTTGGTGGTACGCATGAAAAACCACAAAGCAAGATCAAGTATGAATTTTATAATATGTGGTATGTTCAATGTACCACTAGGCTCGAAAGGGTTAAAGAAGAAGTTCTTGTCCCCCCAATGTACAGGTAGTTGTGACTACGCGAGTCGATTTAGTGTTTTGTATATAGGGTTATTAAAAGAAGATTCACCTATTAAGGTCTCGTGTCCTATTCAAAAGAGGGATGTTTTTATGTTATAAAATAGACACAAGAATGGCACACGCCACTATCTTGTTTATGAAGATAATCGTGATGATAATTGAACAATTGACAGGTATGCAGATATCAAATCGTATCAAATGTAAAGTCTGGTTATGATGATGACTTATATCATCTGAAGAAAAGTAGGAAGAAAAGTACGTAAGTTGATTATGCGAAATGGTGCTGATTTATAAATTCAACTATTTTTGCTGTTAGATCAGTTTGATTTTCTTGAATTGTATAACATACCCAAATACATATTCTATAGATTGTCCCGAGGGTTATAATAAATATGTACTTATGATAATAATATTGAACATTCTAAACCAACATAACAATTTTAGAATTTGTAAACTGAAACATTGAATATTTCAAGCATATAGGTTAGTCAACTGTCGGTCAACTGTGTTGACTAATTCGTCAGAAAATTTTATGAAAGACTGAGACTAGTTGTCCATCGGTTGTCCATGATGGTATAACTCAAAGTAGAGTGGACTGGTTATAAGTAAGTATGTAAAAACGAATAGTTAATTTATAGTGATTATTCTTATGTTCCTATGCACATCAATTCAACTTATATACATACATAAGTAAGAGAAAATGAGATATACCAGGTAGGCATACCTATAATGGGCAAATGGATGTTGCTATCTTCCATTACTCAAAATTAGAAGAATTGAAAAAATCATGGAAACCTATAGGTACCTCTATGGCGTAGGTATATTCATTCCAGACGTTTTTCTTCTCGGATATCAACAAAAATGAATTTGTCTTTACTTTCTTCTTCTTCAGATGGAGAAGGCCAAGTATCATATATTTTGGATTATTTCTCAAGATATAGATGACGTATAAAGAATATACGAAAAGGAATTAAATACTTTCTGGAGTACAAACTGTATATGCAAAAGAAAGAATTTATATTAGGTACGTACTCACTAGTTTAATAAATAATATAAAATGGTATGACACCGATATCCCATAGAATGATCTCTCCTATAAATTTTCGATTGACAACTGATTATTAATTAACTATGATCAGAATCTGAGCATTACATTTTGATTTATTGAATTTCGTATGTGAAATTAAATAATAATGTACTTAGCTCCAATAAATTAAATGTTCATGTTATGCCAACAGATTCACAAACTGGATATCCAGATAAATATACGAACATGCACCTACGAATAATGAACATCCAGGATCAAATAAGATCCCATGCAAACACATAGAGAACCGAGATAAAATTCACCTGCTCTCTCACAGCTATCACTGAAAATTTGTTAGAATTTCCTCAGAGTACCTACATCACCACATAAAAATGAACAACAAAAACAATGTACTCCACGTCATATTAATCGTCATTTGTATCACTTTATGGCTTTAATATAACATGACGATTCACTTGACTCCGATCCGCTGATGATGTTGCCTTCAGGATTATTTTTTCAAAATATGGCGAGAGCGCCCAAAACACATTTTACCAATTCGCATAAAATGCCACGTCACACTTTCACTAAATTTCCACAAGTAGGATTTCAATGCTAAGTACAAACATCAAACATTCTAAACTCCCAACGATCTGTTCCCTGCAGAAATCAGAAGCGAACTGAAAAGAATCTGCAAGCCGAAAATTGCGCGCAAGACTATTTTTGCTGAAAAATCATTATAACTTTTTGTTATAAAAGCTTCAGGAGGTATTACTCCATCTGACGAGGAGTTAATTAAAACTCTCAATCACGTGGTATCAGAGGCGGTATACACTTGATATTCTTATTGAATTTCCGAGAGAATTTCCAATGGAAATCTAATAGGAGTACATGGAGGAAAGGAAAACAAGCAGCTCACCTTGTGCGATCCGAACAGCAGGCATTTTGATTCTCATTTTGGAAATTTTTGAATAGTCCTTTCAATCGCGGATTAACTGCTAGTCCATTTTCGTCGAATGGTTCACTAAATCATCTTCACCAAGTCATCACCTTCACTCACAAAACTCAACATTTCTACATGAAAAACCGCGATACAAAATAATCTGAACCTTCGGAATGTATGTGTTGGGGCCGGTTGAATCAAAGGGTCAGTATGCGCTATCGTACGAGTGTCCGCTGGATGTCCCCTGGACCAAGATGCTGTGTGGCCACAGGTCCAGACGCGTGTGAGTCTATTTGGCCAGCTTTACAGGCGATTCTCGGCCGTTCCGCGATCGTATCGCGCCGGCTACACTCGGGTCTGTTCGCGGCCACTCGCTAGCCAGCGGTCCTGAAGCACCCCGTGTCGCGGAGTAGGGGATGATGCGCCGCGCGCTCGGCTCCGGAGTGGGGGTTCGCCCGTTGGTCTCCCGGATGGGATATTCCGGTCGGCTCCGGTGTGCGTTGGGTAGGTATGTTGTGATCTGGCGGCGGCATGAGAGACTGAGCTTTTCTTGTTTCGACTTAGGACTTAGCTTGCGCTACACTGAGGAAAATTGTGCTATTAGAGTTTTTGCTGAGATATTTCTTGCTACCATTACAAAAGATCATATTACCGTTATACATTTTCGAATAGAAGCAGCACCTCGAAATCCTATGATAGCAATAGCGACTTTGCTGTAAGTGAATTTCCTGCCACGGAAAGGTATACTGCTGTCGCTATCAGGCAGCCACTCTGGGACAGTATGATTTTTTTTATAATTGACTAGCTGAACTACTACTAGTGAGTTATATGCTTGTGGCTGCGAGATTCATTGCATAGAACTGCACTCACTACCAATAATACAACTGTCAGTCTGCCACGAAATAGTTATTTGTTTTACTGGTCCATAGCCGAGCGTAGCGAGGCTGGGAATTCAGTCAAGGCAGTCAATCTACATTTGCTGCCGTGTGAAACATAGAATTTTTTCTTCGAATGATATAATACCAATTTTGTGTAATTTTTTTATTGAAATCTCCATCATTATGTGTTCACCCAATGTCTGTGTCAATTTTGATTAATGATTTCATAAGAATTTCTTGGAACGTTTGCATAGCAACAAACTTTTTCTGCTTAGGCAGTAAAAGTACACCTTCTGGAAAAAGCCACTATCCCTGCTGCTTGGAGAAAAATAATATTTGACGAACCTACTTGATCTTATTTAGCGCCTACTTATCGTTATTCGCTATTTTGCTGATTTGTCTCCCTCTATATAAGCATTTGTCTGACATTTTGCTTGATCAATCATTCACAGTTGGGCTCTTGATGCAAACCCATGTACAGGACGACAATCTCGACGACACGACAGTTACATTTCCCTCTTTTTGGAACCATGAAACTTCAAAATTGTCAAATATGTTTCAAAGCTTCTCTATAGAATGTGGTCTAAAAACTTATTGTGAGCAAAAATGTTCAGGTTATGAAGTTATTTGGATGGTTTTACTGGAACATAGTGTTTTCCTGCACGCATGTGTAATAACTTGCCTACTTTTCGGAATACAATGGTTTTAGAAAGTTTCAGAAAAATTCTTATTTTCATTAATTACTCAAAAACCTTTTGTTCTTCCTGAGAATGCATAAATCCATTGATCCATTGAATATCAAAGATCATTGGTCCGAAATATTCTTAAGGAATCAATAAATTGCTATTCATACCAAACATCAGGGTGGGAATTATGGGAAGTGAAATTGGATATCGCAGTCAAAATTTCACCTTTCTCGATAACAATCCTGGAAAATAACTGAATCACTACAGCAAGAAGGTCATGCAACTATCTAAATGCCCTACTCCTATTATTAGATGCACTCACTAGCGGTAGCAAAGTCAGATATCTACTACAGAAACATCGTCTAATAGCAATATACAGATGCACTCGCTAGTGGCAGCAAGGTTCTATATCTAATAATCGCAGGTGGGCTGTAATCAGTAAAGTCGACTTCATAACCACAGGTGCTCGCTTGTCCCCCATGCTATAAGAATTTCTTGCTGGGGTTATTCGATTTCTGACTATGGTTAATAGGAATTTTCCTCAGTGTACGCTTGAATATGATTGGACTTGCAAAATTTCAAATTCACAATGTGCAACGCAACAAGGCAATATTATGTACCAATATCATGGGATTTTTACATATATGCGTTATTTTCACATGTACATTAAAGGAGTAAGGAAAAAACTGGATGCAAGAGTTTCAAGGTGTCTCCTGGTGTTTCAACAATAGTTTTTGATGATGATGTCATAAACGACAAATGTGAAGTTGACAAAAAATACAAAGTTGACTATACTTGGACGAAGTACTCTGTTAATTCACTCTCACGATTCATCACTTCAGAATATAGGAATATTTTGTGGGGTCGGCATGGCCCATTGACCTAATGATGTATTTAAATTTTGTCCTGGGCCGGGATAGACTGTGATTCAGATAGAAACTAACATTCTCTTTGTTCAACTTCAAAAGCCTTTTAGTTGAAATTTTGGTTATCAGAAGAATGTGAGCAGTTGAATATTTTGATACATTGCATGTGGCAATGGAATAATTCATACCTCATCATATACTGAACCGATACATTTACGTAAATGAAATGAGAGAGGGTGAGATGAAAGGCATGAAACCAACACAACAAAAATAACCATGGCAAACAAAAATATCCATGTGATTAACAAAGTGTCTGAGTCTGAATATAAAATATTGTTGCTGTGTGACGTTGTTTATAATTGATATTCATAGTTTTCATCGCTTGATGGTGATGTCACATACATATAATGTTGCAAATTCCGCCCATATATACGGTGCATTTCCACTATAGCTATACGTTATTGATTGAAGGTATGGAGTTGAATGAATGTTTGATTGACATTGCTATGTGAGTTTGTAACTCATTTTTAAGGTCAGTTTCAATACCCCATTGTTATTGGGAAAAATGTGGAATATTGATTCATTGGAGAATATATGCTAACAGGCATAAGATATAAGTATTCATCTGATGTCTTTTGACTGATGTTTCACCCTCACTATTCTTGCTACTAGATAGCATTGATTTTATTGGGATCTATTACAGAAATCACCTCCAATAGCTCGAATGTTAGGAGGTTTATGTTCATATGAAGCATTTTTCTTAAATTGAGCTGATGAATCATACCCTATAACTTCAGCCACCAGATAAATTTCACTCAGTATAGGGAACAAGACATAAAAAACAGTCTGTATTATGTTCACGACTGAAATCGGAATGAAATATAAGATTTTTTTACTTATCGTTTTCACAAATTTATTTGATGAGCCCTGTCTCACGAACAGTTTTCACCTTCTCCAAAAATAATCAAGAATGACGTTACGATCTCTCTCTATGAATGGGTTTACTTCCGAATCGACATATTTTCGAAAAATAAAAATCAAAGATTTCTTCAAATTTCGAAAACATCAGCAGATGTTTACATTTTTGGTGAACTTTCCACCGAGCTATCCACCAATCAATTCGAACGAATTCGAACGATATTAATTTTTTTCGCGTTTTCTTTAATACCAAACAAACTAACAAACAAACAATACATACCTAATTATTTTTCGAAATACTATTTGAAATGCGTTAAATGCTCATGTCTCAGCCTTATTTTCTGTTAATGAATAATATTACAAATTGGTTTTTCTCTGACAAAATATATCTATATAGAGAGATGAAGATTGTGTATATCATGAAGAATGAAGTCCCTGATATTTCATTATTCTTCTGTTCCTGTCAATAGCCTACCCAATTATTGATTATAATGATTTTTCACTGGTGTGAGTGCATGAATTGTTGAGTCATATAGAGCTAGAACACGGCACCTTATATTGACCATGTCGAGCATATTCAAATGTAATTCAATCAAGTGGCTTATTTTGTATGCTTCTCTTATAAATAAAAACAGCATAACTTATATTTGTTAATGTTCGCTATAACGATGAGTCCAATTATTTATCAGTTGAATAAAAAAAGTGTTTAAAAAAAAAAAAAAGACCAAAGCATTGGAATTTCGAAAATATCTGAAAATATCTTCGTTTTTCTCAATAGCGCTTGAGACTATTGTATTTTATGACAACCCCTCCTCTTCACCTGACTACTCTGTAGAACATCAAACATCATAATTCATTGATGCTTCTTTTATTTTCCTGTATGAGGTGATATCATGCCATATTATATTTATAATAACCATCAAACAAAAACATTTGTGCGACTGTACCTGTGTTAGTCCACCAGCATATGTAGGTAGAACGATAAGGATATCAGACAAACTTTGATAACCTAGGAAAACAACGATAAGACCAAATTGTGACCATACAAGCGTATTTATAACAGTTCCGTAGATATACTATGATTATGGAATAATATACATTGTAATACTGGGCGTTTAAAATTGTTCGGAATTCTTGAATAGGTACGCTTGTTTATTCCAACCTATATAATGATTGAATGAATGGAAACCCTCTCAACTGTTTTGTTCTCATATATATGGAATAATGAAAATGGCAAAGACGATCTTAATAATCTTTGATATTTTTATGGATTTGGAGTGGATCTCTATACCTCGATTTTCCAAATGAAGAACACCATCAGGACGTTTATTTTGAGATTTCAAGAACTCGAAGGGATAAATCTATACCTGTAACAGATTGATAACAACATGAATACAGGGAATTTCCTTTCAATACCGTACCTTCAAAACATGAACCTTTGAATTGGTTATATACTTAGTAGGCGAATTCAGTGTACCCATGCAGAACACATTTCAAGTGGTCGATTTTTCTCTGAATGTATAGTAAACATTATGAATGTGAACATCATGAATACGACTTTATTATGGAGGTTATATTCGTGGAAAATTGCTCTAAAATTGGACACTATAGGGAAACCTAAGATCACACAAATTTCATTCCTGAATTCCTTTCATTCATTAAAATTTGAGTTACATCAATGCAAATTCTGATAACAATAACAAAACCAATGCTCCAAGAACGTAAAAATATAATGAAAATTCGTTAATTGTTCGAGAGTCCTTGTTTATCAAAAATTTCAACTGCCTTCAGGGATCTGAAGATATTCCAGTAGGAACCAAATTCAGACACTATACTATACTTAATACCAATCAAATTCATCTCCTGTGGTTGAGATCTGGAAAAATTATGGAAAATTTCAATTTTATTTCCATCCTACTGTATA